GGATAAAAACAGTAGCAACTAGAGTGTTAACAAGATTTTTTCTATTTTTAGCTCCGGAGACCTAGTTTCACATGCGATTTCGAACTCATCCAAGCAATTACCTAGACAAGCATCCTGACCAAGTTTGATGATAATTGAGTCGAAAATGTGACCACTAGAATGTTAACAAGGCTTTTCCATATTTGGGCGGTGTGACCTAGTTTTTCATCCAAGATGACCCATGTTGAATCTTGACTTAGAAATCATCAAAACAAACTTTTAGACCAATTAACAGAATATTTGGATCACAACAGTAGCCACTAGAGTGTTAACAAGATTTTTCTATTTTTATCTCCTGTGACCTAGTTTTTCATCCGAGATGTCCCATGTTCGATTTATTCCCTGCAATGACCTAAGCAAGTTTCCTGACCAAGTTTGCTAACAATTGAGTCAAAATTGTGACCACTAGAGTGTTAACAAGGTTTTTCTAAAATTAGCTCCTGTGACCTAGTTTTTCATCCGAGATGACCCATGTCCGAACTCATCCGAGCTATCACCTAGACAAGTATCTTAATCAAGTTTGATGATGATTGATGCAAAAATGTGACCGCTAGAGTGTTAACAAGGTTTTTCTATTTCTACCCCAGGTGACCTACTTTTTCATCCGAGATGACCCATGTTCAAACTCATCCGAGCTATCAACTAGACAGACATCTTGACAAAAGTTTGATGATGACTGATGCAAAAATGTGACTGCTAGAGTGTTAACAAGGTTTTTCTATTTTTAGCTCCGGTGACCTTCTTTTTCATCCGAGATGACCCATGTTTGTACTCATCCGAGCTATCACATAGACAAGCATCTTGACCAAGTTTGATGATGATTGATGCAAAAATGTGACCGCTAGAGTGTTAACAATGTTTTTCTATTTTTAGCTTTGGTGTCCTACTTTTTCATCTGAGATGACCCATGTTCGAACTCATCCAAGATATCAACTAGATAAGCATCCTGACCAAGTTTGATGATGATTGATGCAAAAATGTGACTGCTAGAGTGTTAACAAGGTTTTTCTATTTATAGCTCCGGTGACCTAGTTTTACATCCGAAATGACCCATGTTCGAACTCATCCGAGCTATCAACTAGACAAGCATCTTAATCAAGTTTGATGATGATTGATGCAAAAATGTGACCGCTAGAGTGTTAACAAGGTTTTTCTATTTATACCCCAGGTGACCTAGTTTTTCATCAGAGCTGACCCATGTTCAAACTCATCCAAGCAATTGACTAGACAAGCATTCTGACCAAGTTTGATGATGATTGGTTTAAAAATGTGACCACTAGAGTGTTCACAAGGTGTTTCTATTTGTAGCTCCTGTGACCTACTTTTTCATCAGAGATGACCCTCATTCGAGCTATCACCTAGGCAAACATCCTGACCAAGTTTAATGATGATTGGGTCAAAAATGTGACCTCTACAGTGTTCACAAGGTTTTTCTTTTTTTAGCTCTTGTGACCTAGTCTTTCATCCGAGATGACTCATGTTCGAACTCATCCATGCTTTCAACTAGATAAGCATCCTGACCAAGTTTGATGATGATTGAGGCAAAAATGCGACCGCTAGAGTGTTCACAAGCAATTGTGGACGGACGACGGACATTCACCGATCCTAAAAGCTCACCCTGAGCAAGCTCAGGTGAGCTCAAAACCAAAAACCGATGATGACAGAACGGGTATCACTTTATGCCTATAAAAATTTTTTTGCTCAAGTGATTTTTTTTCGAAGAGCTACATATGAAATTGCTGCCAAATATACATAAGTAAAATCTATTTCAAAGCTGCATGCATTCATATAAATATATTTAAAAAAAATCAAACTTGATTAAATAAAAAAAAGTTCAAGGATAGCCCAAACTTGTTAATTATAAAAGATATACAGTCAAACGTGAATTAAGCGACCGCGCAAGGGAAACACCCAAAACGGTCGCTTAATGAAACGGTCTCTTAAGACAGTCAGCATGATATAAAAGTCAAAATTTATAAATGACATCTTTCTTATGCGGTAGGAATGCTTTTTAACTTCATTTTTATATAAATGTTAAATAATTAGTACGCTCCGATAATCTAAATGGATGCAAATGTAAAAAATAACTTTCTGATATTTATTGACAAAACGGGGTGCAAAACAGTTTTGATCCATTACGTACATGTTTTACATTTTTTTCCAGAATTTGTTAACTTCTCCGTTGTTTTTCCTTGTCTCCAACACGAAAACCCTAATAGTGAAGATGTTTTCTGTTGTGCATTTTTTCATTTGAAATAAACAAACTACATCTAATTGTTACGATAAATTTAACTGCTGATCAAGTTCAAGGGCAATTCAATGCAGTCTAAATGTCAACAAGCCAAGCGTATACACCATCTCAGTAGGGGCGGAGCGTTGCATTGTTTATCCAATATTATTGGATAATAAACGTCACGCGTATACTTACCTTCATTTGCATACGCTAAACCGGTTTGGGAAATAGAGATTTTCACACGTTTTATTTGTTGTGTTTTGATTGTTGACACTTGTCACATTACACGGCGGCGTTCTCTAAAAACACAATTACTTGACAGGTAAAAGTGGTCGTTTAATGAAATTAGCTGACTAATTAGCCGCCGCCGGTAGCGTTGAGCAAAAGTCGCTTAATACATTAAAGATATTATAGAGAAAATGATCGGGGGAATTTACAGTGGTTGCATAAGACAAAAGTCACTTAATACACGTGGTCGCATGAGCAAGTTAGACTGTATATACAGAGTATTATGTTGTAGTAGCTCTCTGAGGCTTTGTATTTTGCTATGAGCAGCGGTGGGAAATTGATATCTTGCGAGACCAAAGGGCGAGCTAGATAACAATTTTCCAACATTGCAAGTAGAAAAATGCATAGCCTCAGAAAGCTTCTACAACATAATTTTCCTTTAATAATATACCTTTTCGTTTGAAGTATAAATGATTTTCATTATACTACACTTATATAAGAAATTTCAGAAAAAGAAATGTAGCTGTCAAGAAATAAATTATGACTGACAGATGAATACGTAATTTGTGCAAAACCAGCCACACCTTTTATTATTTTGGTTGACATTTCCATATACTATGTTATACACAGCTAAGATCAGAACCAACATAAACAAGAACCGGTTGATGCTCCCCGAGAAGGTTCTGGACACTGGAAAGTATAAAAAAAATGAACAAAGGGCAAAAACCCCAAAATTAGGCAAAGCGGAGTTATGTTTTTTTTTTGCACTGCACTTCTATTCAATTAGATCTTTCTATCTATAAAGTTGCCTGATGATATCAGAGTTATGTCCAAGGTAAAATTCAAAGTGTAAAAATGAAATTAGGGTAATAACTCCAAAATTAGACCAGGCTTTATTTAGGTTCTTTAAGCATTGCAGTTCTATCCAATTATATCTAGCTACCTACAAAGTTTCATGTTGATATCTCTAATAGTTTTAAAGTTATGTCTCGGACAAAAGTCAAAAAGTAAAAATAAACAAAGGGCAATTACTTCAAAATAAGGCAAGGCAGAGTAATGTTTCTTAAGCACTGCTTAGAGTAATGTCCTGGACAGAGTTCAAAGTGTCAAAATGATCAAAGGGCAATAACTCCAAAAGTAGGCAAGACAGTGTTACAGTTCTTGTGCACTGCAAACTTCCTCAACGATATCTATCTACCTACAAAGTTTCATGTTGATATCTCTTTTACATTGAGAGTTATGTCTCGGACAAAGTTCAAAGTGTAAAAATAAACAAAGGGGGATAATTCAAAAATTAGGCAAGGGAGAGTTAAGGTTCTTGTTCACTGCTTACCAACTCAATGAAATCTATCTACCTACAAAGTTTCATGTTGATACCTCTTATAGTTTTAGAGACAAAGTTCAAAGTGTAAAATAAAGAAAGGGGGATAATTCAAAAATTAGGCAAGGCAGAGTTACGGTTCTTGTGCACTGCATACCAAGTCAATGAGATCTATCTACCTACAAAGTTTCATGTTGATACCTCTTATAGTTTTAGAGTTATGTCCCGGACAAATTTCAAAGTGTAAAATAAACAAAGGTGGATTATTCAAAAATTAGGCAAGGCAGAGTTACGGTTCTTGTACACTGCACACCAACTCAATGAGATCTATCTACCTACAAAGTTTCATGTTGATACCTCTTATACTTTTAGAGTTATGTCCTGGACAAAGTTCTAAGTGTAAAATAAACAAAGGGGAATAATTCAAAAATTAAGCAAGGCAGAGTTACAGTCTTGTGCACTGCACACTTACTCAATTAGATCTATCTACCTACAAAGTTTCATGTTGATACCTCTTATAGTTTTAGAGTTATGTCCCGGACAAAGTTCAAAGTGTAAAAATAAACAAAGGGGAATAATTCAAAAATTAGGCAAGGCAGAGTTACGGTTCTTGTGCACTGCACACCTACTCAATGAGATCTATCTACCTTACCTACAAAGTTTCATGTTGATACCTCTTGTTGTTTCAAAGTTAAGTCCCGGACAAGAAAAGGGGATGAAATTTTTCGGGGAGCATAAAAATTGTCCAGGCATTTCATATAGGGTACTGTTTTGTCTCTAACATAATACAGAATTTTCTAACCGTTGAAAACTATTTGCGCTTCAAGATAATCCTGTGTTTTAGGAAGAAAATTTATAGGTATATAATAAATGCTGTCATTGACATTTCTTATGCTTATATTTATTATATGTATTTCTTGCAATCCTATTTATAGCTACAAATTCTATGAATTAAAATAGAAAATGAAGGTAGCATGCAGACGGTTTTGATATTGTGTGATAAAAATTTAAAGATCATTGGAAATCATCCCAGTAACCGAATAGTCAATACTCTAAATGACCGAGTACTCGAGTATTGATTTTAGTAATTGTTGCCATCCCTAAAAAATAAAGTACTTGACAAGATCAACTAACATCTAAATAAAAAACTTTGAAAACAGAATTAATTATTTTGAAAAATTCACTCTGAGCTGTATTATTTAAAATGGGTGTTCAAACACATTGAAAACATTGATAATTCATTTCATGTTCTTGGTGATGAAGTGGTGCCTCAATATAGTTATCACTGCAATCTATCTTCCCTCATAACTCCTACTATTACTGTATCTGTCAAACAAGCATCTCTGTTTTCTGAAATAGAGTTTCAAAAAGTTTATTGCTGACCGAGATATTCCATACTTGTATGTTAACTTTTTTTCAGCATCTTTCTGTTAGAATTACTCTGATTTATAAAGGTATAAAACCAAAAAATGCGCGACCAATGCCAGAGCTCAACCCCTCTGATCAGATTTCACAAACGAGCATCTGAGTAGAACCACCCCCTTTTTTTAAAGCTAGCTGGATTGCTTTCTCACATTAAAGAATCCATATTAAATATAATAGAACATTGATAATTGCTACACAGTCTCTTTGTAAACATAAAATTAGCATGTTTTATTTTTACATAAAGTAGCTATGTAATGTAAAAACACCACATGCTATAGTTGGTCACAATATAAATATATAGTGTTGTTAGGAAACTGACAGTTTTTTTAAGAAGGACCAAATTTTTGTTTGTCTCGTAAGAAGGAACATGGCTTCCAATGCATAGTTAATTCATTCAAATTAGACATATTCAAAAAGAATTGCATAGAATTCAAAACATTTTCATGATTAAAATATTTTACTGATGAGCATAGTATATCTTTAAAGGTAAGTGGTTTAGGTGCATTTCTTTGACTATGGTCACCCCAATTAAATCTATTTATTTGCTTAGTAACACAACTTTTTAAAGTCATATAAATTTGTAAATGTGAGTGATTCTGATAATCTATATACAGCTAAGTCAAGATGAGATGATAAGGTTTTACTGACTGCTTACTACATGAAGTCACTATTTCAATGTCAAATGCCTTGAGGTGAAAGGAATGAAAACTTGAATTTCAAAATACAATTTAAGTGAATTACATGTCACAAATGAGCCGTGTCATGACAAAACCAACATAATGGGTTTGCGACCAGCATGGATCCAGACCAGGTTAGTCTGATCAGGATCCATGCTGTTCAGCCTGTTCGCTTACAAACCTTATTACAAGTAGAGAAACTGATAGCGAACAGTATGGATCCTGATCAGACTGGGCGGATGCCCATTATGTTGGTTTTGTCATGACACGGCTAAAATGTTTTTGCTATCGACTTTTGTTCCTAAATTAACAACAGAATGCATAATGAAAAGATATTGAAATAATTAATATACAATTGGCTCTTAGTGCCAAGCTTACAGATTTTAAATAAACCTTGAGCCCTGTGTTGGCCTTTAAACATGTCAAACATTTAGAAAGTATTTATTAAGGAAAAGTGTGTACAAATAATCATGTACCTCTTCATTATATGCCCATGACATTGAAAAAACATTGTGTCATCTGTTTACTTCAAGGTTAGTCACATTGACAGTATCACATTTTAGACTTTATCTCTCTTGATTCCATTCATAAAAAGCATTCTCAAAATGGGTCCTCTTATTTTCACATTCATCAATCTGACAAAAACCTCCTGGAAAAGAAGTTAGAAACATATGCCACTAATTATGTCAGTTAATGTTAAATAAATACTTTGAGAAACTATTTGGTCAAAATTGTAAATGTACAAAGATTTTCAAACCAAATATATATATAACAATGAACATTTCCTTTTTAACTTTCTAACATATATAATGTATGGTCTTACTTGAAGAAAATGTTTGCCCGTGTGACCGAAAAGGGATTAAGGACCATTACTATTGTTTTTCCTTTTGTTTATTAAAGGGCCATGGCCCCATATTCTATTGTTATGGAATGAATTCTATTGTTCTCTTTTGTTATGCTACAGTAAGATGGATATATATATCAAAGTCAGAAAAAAGCTAACATGTTTTTACCTTAATGGCCTGTATAATTATGTTTCACAGCTTCTCAGCAAACAACCAACTGAGCCACAATTGAAATCTAACAAACAAGCCTTTATTCACAAACCTGAAATAAAAACTTTTCCTAATCAATACAATAGTTCTTTTAATTACATATTTCATTGAAACATTAAGAAATATTGATAAAGTAAAATGCTCATTTTCATTTCCTGTATTTTCAATGTAATTATTCATTTTTCATTGCGTATTTTCACAAGTGTCTCCTAAATTTAGCCTATACACAATAGACTGTAAAGAATAATAGGGCAATTTCTTTATAATTTCAAGTATTTATAGTCGAAACAGTCCTTTTTAAAGGCATATATATGGGTAAGTTGAATGTTGCATGTCCAGATATGATTGACTAACAATTGTAAAAGTGAGTAATAATTGTCGGAATCATAGCTCAATCGGTAGAGAACATAGCTCAAGGTTACCAGATTTCAAAAAAAAAATTATTAATTTTGTTCTGACATGTCAGGAACAACTTAGACATGTCAGGAACAACTTGAAATTTAAATGTGTTTTTCGTTTGATTGATTTTTGTTACCTATCTTACTTTTTCATTGAAGTTACTGTAATCTTTACCTTCTTAAAAATTATGCCCAAATCTCATTTCTTTCTCTTTTTTTTTAAACTTCTTTTCATGAATTTAATATGAATATTTTCAACAGATTTTAAAATAATCAAAATACAACACTGTTAAGCATATATAACTGTTGTCAGGATTAAGTTTTGTTTCATCAAAAAAAAACTTGAATAGAAAATAGAACAGTTTCCACCTGTAGTTTGGAACCCACTAACTGAATTCACTTTTATATCAATATTATGCAGTCTTAAACTTATTTCACTAGTAAGTCAAATGATTTATTATCTCAAACAATGTAATTACATGTAGTATAAGTTTTATGGAAATAATGTGGTTAATCACTTGCAGTTAATCAAGGCTCGACAAATCCACTTGTCCGCTCATAAATGATAAATACGAGTAAAAATGACTCTAGACAAGTTAATCTCCCAAAAATGCCCATCCTGCAGGACATGTGAAATTTCTAGCATAAATTAATCAAATTTCAATTCAATTCTTTTGAAACCATTTTTCAAGTTTTACTAGTAAGACAGATCACAAAATAATTCCCGTGTGTTTGATGGGCAAAACTGATGTTGATTTGTTGAATGCAACGCTTAATTCTGTCTGATTCTATTTTGTAAAAACTTACTAAAAGCCCGTGCGGCGATTCCAGTATGTTCCACAAAATTTTTTTAAAATGTCACAATGCAATATTTGGCAAATGTTTAGCCAGAAAGAAGTTAGTTAAACAGTGCCTTCAAAAAAGAAAAATTGTCTTCAAAAAAGAAAAATGAGTCAGAACATGTAGGAAATTTATATTTTTTAAGCATTGTTGTTGTTGTTGTTTTTCGTTTTTCAATTCCTGATATATTATTTGTAGTATTTGTAACTATTATCTATTCTATTTGTAATAGAACAGCATTTTTCCCTTATAAAACTATTTACGTTCCCAATAAAAAAAGACAGCAAATTTTCAAATGTTTTATTTTTAGACTCCCAAAATTACTGTCAAAATTCCCATCCAAAATTGGCATATATAAAATGGATGATTTCATATTGATAAGTGATATGTGATAAAAACCAAGTACAACTACATCTGACAGAGCAATATTTGTACCTAGTTCATTTTAATATACTTCCGAACATTATTTATGTACATGTACTCATTTTTTTCACTCCAATAGGAAATCAATATATTATGCATGGTTTAACTTTAAATGTGTATAAATATTATGCATAATTCTCATGTCTCCCTGGATAAAATTCAAAATTAACCATGTGGCATGAATACCTGTCAGTTATGTAGTATCAATTTGAGTCAAAACGCATTTTTCCAAAAAAAAATTGTACTTAGTTAGCGTATAGATAATAGTTATGCAGAACTAAGCAAATGTCAGGGTTTTTCGATGCTAATCCCCAGTGTAAATATAATTATAACCTTACTCAAATTTCTTAAAATGAGGGGTGAAGTGTCTGCAAAAAAGGGCCTAGGGTGAAGTGTCTGGGGGTGAAGTGTCTGTAAGCCGAGGTGATGGACAAGGCAAGACATGTCGATTTTTTGTAGCTTATTATGAATTTGCAGTACAATGAGAGACTGGCACTACTTGTATATTTTTTATTTAAAAAAGCTGTAACGTAAGCATCAACAATATGTATACGCTAGATGTAAATAACTCACCTCCAAAAAATATATAAAAAAATGGGTCAAAAATGTCTGGGTAGGAAATGGTTTGAGGGAGGGCTTTCAAGGGAAGGAACTGCTAAACTTAAAATTTGATTATAAGGTCAATTCAGTACAAAAAAGCTTTACCCGATAATGGCCGATTGTGAAGAAAATTTGTAAAAAATACAGCTTTTAATTGCAACTTAAATATCAACGTTATGAAATATAAACAATGAACATCACTCATCTTGAATAACGTTGTATTTCATATCCGGTATTAAGTCAAACTCTTGTATTTTTTGTAAGCAACCAGAATCGCCAACGATTTCGCCACTGATAAATGGATAAATGCAAAACAAGCAAAGTTATTCAACAGTTAGGTAAATGGGAGATAAGGTTTTTGTAATATAAAACTTACAACTCGTTTTAACACGTGGAACTTCTATATAAACTTCTCAATCTTTCACGGATGAACTTGTAAACAATGGCGATTGCGGTAAAATGACGTTAGGGCGAAAATAGTTCGTATTCATACGCATGCATGCATTGTTTTTCTTAAATTTACACTTATGAAGCATTAGGCCCTATAAGCTTTAAAGTTAGCTGATCTGAAATCCGTATTCCATTACTTGCTAAATTTTTGAGTTCTATGACACTTAATTAACTTGTGACTACATGTAATTTGTACTATATTTATGCAAGTACTTTGGCTATGATCGACCGCTGGCGTAGTAATATTAAAATCGCGTAAAGCAAAAATATACATACAATTTTAAAAGACGATTGCTAAATTTAGTACAAAATTGGCCAGTCAATTTTAAAATAGATAGGGAACTATGATTTTGGAGTTACTGCGAAGTTTTGGAACTATTTTGCTTAGCGTAGGTAGCTGACTATTTGTGTTCATATCATAGTAAATCTGAATTTGTCGTTATTACATTGGGGGCGCATTGCGCATGCGCCCCCAAAAACCACGTACTGTTTTGTTATTGATTACTTTGCAAGGCCTGAAAGTCGAAACAATTATTTTGGTTGTTGAGTACAATGGGGGAACAGGTACTAAAATGCGTGGTTTTCAGAAAATGAAACGCATTTGAGCAAAATTCGCAATGACATCTTGTGCATTTGCATAACGAAGTAGTTTTAAAAAAAAAACGAGTACAATGGTGGAATCATATTTAATGAGTACAAAGGTGGAACAATTTTATTGCCTGCCCAATTTCGTACATTTTTTTCATTTAATAATTATCACTTCCTGTCCTTGAAGTCATACAAATATAATGCAGTAATAAGTGAAAAGTAATAAGTAACGAATTGAATGAATTTTGGTTACTTCTTATACATTTTCATCTTAATAGTAATCTGCTTTGATAACACACGTGTACATCAGCTTACAAGTATTTATAATAATTATAAAAAGTACAAAAATGTACGACCAGTGCAATGCAGTGTATAACTGAACTTATTATAAAAATAGTACGCAGTTTGTTTCACAAAAAACTTTGAATAATATAACAGTTAACAATCATTAGCTAACAACGTTTATGTATCAATATAAGACGTTTATTTCAAATTTGTGAAAACTAACATAAATTTCAATTTTTCTCGTTCAATTGTCATGATTATGTAATTTATAACCAGGAAGATTTCTGCTGCCTTAATCCCATTACTAGGATGGAGCACATTAATCTAAGATTCTGTTATAAATATCATTTCTTCTGGGACATAGTTTACAGTTACGTGTTAATTAACCGATGTCTCTGGTATAAAGCGAGAGGCTGGCAGAAAGTCTGAAATTGTTCCAATAAAGTGATACGATAGCATTGTTAAAGCTTTAACTAAACTAAAAGTTTATTCTAGGATATTTCAAATTTGAAAAAACAGTTAAACACCTAAACAAGCAAAGGAAAGTTAATGATATTTGTATCGCTTAATAGCAAAAGGTAAATATTTTATTTAATTTTAAAATTTACTATTCATTTAACAATTTGTAGCCTTTAAATATACGTTCTGGAACGTAACAAACATGTTTTCTAGCCAAGCAGGCGTGATTCGACCTTTTTGCAATTAAATGTGTATAACCATTTCTAGAAAATTAAACAATAATTGCTGACTAAATTGTCTGTTTTATCATATACTAAATCATGTGCATCGTTGATTACCCACGGCTGATTATTCCAAGACGTGGGTTAAATGAATCTATTTGTGTCGAAATACAGCAACAGGTGTGTTAAATATCGACCATTGAAATCGTGTTTAACTAAATTATATTTTTCAATTTACTACGAAGAAAGATAAAACTATCGGGAACATTTCTTTATTTTTTGCTGTAAAATTGTTCAAATTTTTAACATTGAACTTTTCAAAGCTGAATTTAATTGGATGCCGCAATTATGTAGGTAATAATAAACGTCGTATAGAACACGCATTTTGATTGCATCATGAACTCGTGAGACAACCAATAAATCGACTGAATATCGCCAGGTTTGACATACGGGATCCCGGGATTCTGAGGATCCCAAAATGTCGGGAGGAACCTCTGTGATTCCTAGCTGGGGATTCCGTTGGGATCCCTGAAAAATTACTGTGTAAATTGTTGAAATTTTCTGAATTAATAATATTAAATCACAATTATTCAAGAAAATGGTTAATAAAGACTGGCACAACTTGAAGGTTCAATAAAGAAAAGAAAAACCCCGCCGGAAGAATCAACGCTCTTGAATTATGAGCGCTAGTATTTCTTTGTAGTGACTGCTATCAACTCATTCGTGATATATAATGATATTAACATGTGTCTTAAGAAACATTTTGAATTATTTTATATCATGCTTTGACTTCATAATAAGAAATTGTGAAAATTCAAAAAGGAAATGTTATTATCGTATAATTATTACACAAGCGGTGTGTACTTCAAATATGTGCTGACCAGCATTGCCGGCAGTAGCTACCAAGTTATCCGGTGTTTGTTGGTTTTTTGGTGCCAAATTCGGCACTTGTGATCATTGTAAATTTTTGTCAAAAATTGTGAAAAAAAAAGATTACTGGTGTATTTTCTTCTCCCTACAGCAGAAGAATAATTAATAAACAGAATAAAGATAATCCATATTTTTAAGATTTAAAATCCTTTTTGAAACTTTCAGCCTTCGATGCTAAAAAATATTGTCTACATTAAGTCTAAAGTGTTTTAAGGTCAATCTAGGTCACGCATAATTTGCCATCAAAAATATTAAAATCCTTAGGTGAAACATACACCAAATGACGTATATTTCATCTGACAGTTCTTTGAGCCAATCATTGTTCTAAACTACATGACTACTGCATGTGGTGGGCGCCTTTGATATGACAGATGTCAAAACTTAAAACAAATTTGAATATACACAGAGAGGAAAGGAATCGGACATTAAGAAAACAACGAATAAGAATCGTTTAGTTCAAACATAATTTATTTAAATCCGAATGTATATGACGCTATAAGCTTATGTACACGCTCTTGAATCTGTTTCTTGAATCAACCAGCACTGAGAAATGGGTGTAAATTTTCTTACAAAGTTTTTGTTTCTGAGTTTGAACCCACGCTGCATACGATCTTTAAATTATTCGTCCGACGCGTAAAGCGCTCGGCTGTTCCGCAATTAATGACATACGTTTAGATTGTGATATTGAGAAAATTCATATAGTAAACATTCTATGGTAAAATGTTCACTGGTAGTTCAAATCAAACATCATAAGAAAACTAACAAGTTAAACATAAACACAATATTTGTTGACAATATTTTTATTACTATTTCTGAGATATCGCATCTAAGAAATGAATTTGTGCTTGAGAAGATCACTTTTGCACCAGGTAACTTTCAAACAAAATTCCGCATGTTTGTTCTACTGTTAGTTCCAAAACATTGACTACAAAACACAAGAGTTATATTACCTTCTTAAAGATTATTGAGTGCATCAATCTAAAGAAACATGTAATATTCATGCGTGTTAATCATTAATCGTGACAATTACCAAGACAAAATGCACCAGACTTGTTTTGTAACACATTTATAATGTCATGTTACAACTAAATTTGTTTTACACGCATAAAATTTATAAAGACAAGAGAAAATTTGTGTTGACGTGTGTGCTTTTTGTCATTATTTGATATTACTGTTTAAATTATGTTAAAAACAAAATATTAATATTTAAATAGCAAAAGTTCCTTTACAGAAACTTTTATCATATTCTTTATTAGATCATCCTAAGATAATATACCTAAGATAATATAAAAGAAACCATGTGATTTTATCATACCAATACATTCATTAATTAATTTAAACTCGCTGTGAGTGCTTTTGCATTTTATAAGGGTGAATTAGACGGTTCTTTATAATTTGCTCTAATATATATTACATAGTCTTTGATTTTTTTATTTAGCCTTGTTCATTATGTTATGTTTAAATGAATCATATATTTGTTATTGTTGCTATAATAAAAAGTTCAAGATAAAAAAATACACAAATGTAATCAATTTCGGTTTTACTTTAAAAATAAAGCAACGCCTATAATATTAACAGTGATGTTTTTTTTGTTTTTTGCATTTATTTTTTATAATTCTTTTTGAACTGGTTTAACTGTTTACTTTTATGTTATTTATTTTTGCGTTCGCTCTCTTGCGAGCTGAGCACAATCAGTCCATATTGACATTTACAATAACATCAATCACAGAACCATTGTGATCCGTACATTTACCTTTTATCTAATTGTGTACGAGAATCATATAATATAACAAAAAAAGCTACCAGATAAGATAACTTATAATAAACTGAAATTTCAATGATTGTATATTTTAACAACTGTTTTTTCTTTTCTTAACAAATGAATACCGAAATATCGTTTAAACTGCCATATATTGTATGAAAGCAGCATTATGGCTGACTGAATTATACAGGAAACACAACCCCGCTGTAAGTATTGGTTTGTCCATTGATCAAAGTAAATGAAAGAGAAATACGATTGACATTGGACAGTAATATTTCTTCGGACTGACGTCTTATCAAAAGTTTCTTCCTTTGAAAGAACCATAATGGATAAAAGTATCATCTTTTAACATACGCACTGATTACAGAAAATTCAAGTTGGCATTACGTGTTGTAGCATTTTAATTTAAGAAATAGTATATCCCAAACTGTGATTTTATTGCTCAATAACATCACTGTTTGGAGTTCGGATACGGGGAATTATATCACGAGGGCGTAGCCCGAGTGATATAATGATGCGAATCCGAACGACAATAAAATCACTGATTTGGATATATTATTTCGATTCTAACACGACATCAACAAATAAATGCTGCCGTACATGATAATTAGCTAAATTACGCCTGATTTGTTTCCGTACTTATTGTCAGCGCGTCACATTTTTAGTGGTTACGTCACGTGTATAATGATTACGTCACATCTCTAAATATAGAACGTCAAACAGTGATTTTATAGCATTATAACACACACTTTCGGTTCTTCTATGTTCAATAGGGAAAAATGCGGGTCGTGTTAGAATTA